TCCCTCTTTGTTTCTTTCTTCCGTCTTGCCCCACCTTATCTCCTCCTGTTCTCCTTCGTTCTGGGTGATCAATTCGTATTGCTCGGGCAGCTGAGCCCCCCTGAGCCCGGGGTTAGAGAGATGAAGGCAGGGAAAAGATAGAAATAACTAGACAGACGGAAGAGGCGAGAAAGACAAAAGTACAGGAGAGCAAGCAAAGGCAGAGCCAGACCTTGCCACGAGCAGGGCCTCTTGGCGAACACAGGACCCTGGGGTGAAGAAATGGAGTGATAGGAGAGGTGATGGCTGAGGGTGGAAAGAGACGAGAACAACAGCGGCGGCAGGGAGAAAATAAGGTAGAACACAATGTGTGAAATGTCCACTGGCTCTGAAGACTGGTCCTGAGTAAATACAGGCTCAAGGATGCTTCTGAAGTCTTTGTTCATGCTTTCACAGCGGCGTGTACACAGGCCTACGGCGATTTTAATCTTCGCTTGTAAATAAACCGTAACTATGGAGAAATGACGGGCTCGGTGGTCACGCCCGTGCATCAGTCATCACCGAGCACCAAGAACACGACGAGGTCTTTGAGATTCTGCACACCGGGGTTCTCTTACATGCTGTGCTGGTTTAATTATGAAGGTTTGCAGCGGTGTGTACTCGGGGGGGTTGGAACATAGCCGGCACAAGAAACAAGTGTAAACTTTCATGAAATCTCAGTGAAACTTGGCCACGGATCAAAATTTGAAGGTTTGAGGTGTCATTCCCACTGTTCCCACCACCTGTCAAAGCCCAACTGTATGCTGGAAGACGGCCTTCATTTTAGCTTTAATCAAAACTTTACTTTCATGCTTTCACAGTAGCAGTCTTGCACTTTCACGAAGTCTTTGGAGACTACTTCATATAAGCCGTTTACCCATATAGTGGGATGGAAATGTTTCCTAGACCTTGTGTTTATTATTAGTGTTCATATGATTTGAAAATGAATCTAAAACACAATAAACAACAACATTAGTCCTGAAGACAATCCCTCATTGGGTGTCTTCACAATGTTGCTGAAGAAGCCTGTCCAACATGTTCGTTCAAAATCCTATATGTATGCGTCGGTAGATTGAGATGTGGTGGGGCAAAGGCCGTAACATGTGGTTAACTTAATTTTCACATTTATCAAACCATTCAGTGACCCAAAGAAAGAGATTGCTCCCTTGACGATAGAAATGCTTCGTCAAAGGATGAAGGCGATCACTCAGAGCAGCTTTGTATTGATTTGCAGTGACCCTTCTCTTTAAAGGACCCAAACTTTGCTTTTTTTATAGGTGTACCGAAAACACCAGATCAGGTGCAGTTTTTTCCTTTGATTTTTTTAACGTTTTTTTTTTTTTTTATGTGGGACTGTTAGTTTGATAAAATTAATAAAAGAAGAATTTGGATGCAAGTAGAGCCATAATTATTGCAGTTCAGCTGAGATGGTACCCTCCTTCTCCTCCTTTTAGAGTATGTCATTTTAGCTGCCTTAGTCTGCCCTATACATCTGCAAGCTGCTTTGAAACCCATCTCCACCCCCGCTCCTTGTTTAATCTCACGTCTGGATAAATAATGTCCTTTTGTTCTTTTTTTTTTTTTTTACCACTAAATATAAATGAATTGAAAATTCAAGTTGCTTTAGACTCCTAAGTGAAATAAAGCCACTGCGTCCCTATTGTAGCTTAATTTGATCCACATGGCCAAAATCTGTAGCAAACCTAACCCAGATACAGATCTATTGGCAGCTCCATGGGCAATATCAGCGTCGCTCTTTCACTGTGATTCCTTTTCACTGGCCTCATGAACATGGCCATTTATCACATGTAATAGGACTATCTCAAGGTCTAGGGGCAAAGCACGGTCCTTCATTATCAATCTATGCAAGGCTCCATTGTCATGTGGAAGCCATGAGGTCAGGATTTATCCTCTGTAGGCCCCACTCTTAACATCAACCTTCAACCAGTTGTGCATGATCATGCTGATAGAGTCATCCCTGTGTTATTGAACAGAAAATGCACAATCTTCCTCTACGTGAAGCCCATTCTTTTCTATCAAAACAGGCTTTTAACACCAAAGTTACGCACTAGTGATTCTGGAAAGGCAGAATATTGTTTCAAATTCACAGCAAACCACTGTGCAGCTATATAAATATGGCTATATATGCATGTTAAATGCAGAAGCAAACAGCTACATCTCAAATTTGCATGTTAAAGCAATGCCTCATATCCCCTCCCCCTCCTCTCAGATCTCCCCCCTTCTTTTTTCTTTTGCTTACCTATACTCTCCCACATCAGTGCTGAAAGAAAGGCAAGCAGTAATCACAATAAATAACATGTATACAGAATAAAGTATACACCATGTCCAGAAATGAAATGTACAATATGTACAGAGATAAATATATATATGCAAAAATAAAAGGTGCTAGTCAAGCCAGATCAGGCATTTGCATTGATTAGGGCTATTGCTCTCGTTTAAAAGCTGCCCCTGAGTCTATTTGTCTGTGATACAAAGATTTGTTTATTTTTAGAAACAAATTAGGGGACATGCACTACATTTGCATGTTCAGTTCACTCATTTCAAACCAGATGCATTTTTGCTGCAGCGGCCACGCTGTGAGATGTGTGCGCAGAAGCTTTGGCCAAACACAGACATGCAGTTTCAGCTTTAAGCCGTTTAAAATGTAAGGGTAGTGGCTGCTGTTGTTTTCGGCATGGTTTTCAGTCAGTAATACTGTGTGATGTTGACTGTGACCAAGTCTTTGGGGTAATACAGTCAATCAACTTATGTTGTGTTCAGATGCCTAAATGACATTTTGGGAGACATTTGAATTGAGAGTTTAGCTGTAATGAATGTTTCAAGATTTTCTCCTCTGATGTAACAAAGAAATGCAAATAAATTGTAATTTTTTTAGGGGGAACAATGAGGTAGGAGTATAAAATGCAATCAGAAAGTTTAGTGACTCCACCTATAAAAATCACAAACCTTACCTGATTTAAATTTGACCAGTCACTCGGTTTGCAATAAAAGTGATGTGGTGAATCCAAAATATGGAGGTCTTTCATCTTCTTGTGAGCCGCCATCTGAAAACGGTGTTCGTGAGCACTAGGTCAGGCCTGAAAATGACAGCCTGCTATGGGAACGCAGCCCATTGTCATGCAGCAGTTCGTTATATAATGTTCAGCACAACCCCTGGTCTGATGAGGGTCGAGTGTGGTGAAACATGCAGAGTCGTCCCCACTCCTGGGACACTCCAAGCCCTAAGGCACTGATGTAGGATCAGCGTTTCCCATCCACACTGTGACCCGGGTTCTCGCAAGTAAACATGCAAGCTGACCCCCTGAGCACAGCCGCAGGCCAAGTCCCACCCACACCATGCACTTACCCTGCTGTATGTGCGCATACTGAGCTTTTTTTTCCTCCCATTGACCCAGATACTCATATTCTTCCCCCAGAGAGCCGCCTCTCTCAGTCTAAGAGAGCCTCATTATTTCACTGGAGTGCCTCCCCTCTTTTCTCCATCGGAGGAGGACGAAGGAAGTGGGGCAACCTGGCAGTCGTACTGCGCAGGGGTGCGTTCAGGCCCACACGGGTTCCACGGGGAGGCATGCTGGATCCACACAATTAATGCAGTGTAAAACCGAGTCAGCAAATTTGCAGAAAATTATGAGCAGGTTCATTATTACAAGGCTGTCCCAGAGCGTAACTGCACCTCCAAATATGGTCAACTCATTTGATTCTAAATCAACTAACCGGCCGTTCTTTTATGAAGTTACCACACTGAAGCATGACTGCGCAGCACTCATTATTAGCTTACTGGAAAGTAAGAATCCACTAAATTGATATTTGGTTTGTTGATAGATTATTGTGGCCTCATGATGCGTGTTCCCTTAATTTAGTCAGACTGAAAACAGGCTCACACTGAAATAACCCAGTGATCTATGCTGGTGTGGGAGTGTTTGTGGTTATTACCTGAGAGATGGTGACATATGATCCAGGAAGCCCAATTTGAGTTTTCTTTCTTTCTTTTTTTCTTTTTTTTTAATCCCGCCATATCAATAACATAAGGTGGAATTTTACAGCTCTGTAAAATAAATGCACAGACTTCCATTTTCCTGAGGAAGACTGTGGAATTACAGCCTTACTGCTACAAAGGAAGCCAATGCATGCTTCCATGTATTTTGATTGGCAAGAACGGCCAGTGATTTGGAATTACGCTACACTAGCCCTCTTTTAGCGCTCCTGCTTTATCAGCAGAGTGGCCATACTGAAATAAAGGAAGCCCCTGTGTTTAGAATGTGTGTGCAGAATGTGCAGAATTGCAAAGATGTAGAGAGCATCACACGTACTCACATAAAGCTATTAACAAAATAAATATCTATTCATGATTTCCAGTAACTGGTTAGTGCATCCACGTTTGAGCTTAGGCTATCTTTAACCTCTTAACACCCATCAAAATAGAAATAATATTACATTGAATTCTCACCTAAGTGGCATTCCCAAATGAAAATCACAGGAGAGACAGGAGGACAAATACATGTAAGATTTAAAAGGTGAAACCTTCGAGTTTCTGAAACTATGTTTGTTTAGATCTTAACTAAAGCAAGTCACTGGTGAGCTGATAGATGCTGAGAGGTTAAGTACATTTCTTCTTGAGGAACAAACATTTATTATTAGTATTATTATTATTTTGTGTTACTAACAAAAGTAATAGAATCTTTAAAAGCATGATGCCACAGAAACAGGCTAGAAACCACAATTAAGTCCAGTGGAAGATATTTAATGGTTAAATGTTCTAATATTCTAATATTTGTGCGCGGTAGGCTTTATCTCAGAGGTTAAACTCTGCGTCTTGGCGCCGACTGCGTTTGGAGACTCTCCGAACATAAACGATTGAAGCCGCCTCCTGTTCGGAACATCGTGTGTAGATGTGAAAGCATCCTCGTCTGTGGTGAACGGCGCGCTCTGGTAGCCGAGGAGACCTAATAGTTAAAGATCAGCTGCAGCGCTATGCGCCACGCCTCCACGGCTCGACACCTGGCTCTCCAACAGTCCGTCAGTTGCGCTGTTGCGGAACGGTTTTTCAGACAGGACCGGCGGAAGAAAAGCGGGAGGTAGAGACAGAGAGAGAGAGAGAGAGAAAGAGAGAGAGGGGGAAAAAAGCGAATGGGGGGCAGGAAGAGGAGAATGTGACAACTGCTGGATGCGGACAGAGTGTGTGCGGCTGGCTACACTGCCTTTGGGGAGGCCTCGGCTCTTGCACCTGTCCCTCTCCGTCTCCGCGACCAGGCGCAGTTTGGGCGAGAGCGACGCTCCTTTATTTATCAGGCAGGGCGCACAGCGGCGGAGGCGCACACACACTCTCTCACACTCTCTCTCACACACACGGTACTGTACGCGCACACTCATACACAGGGCAGGAAGGCAACATGACTTCATCCTACAATCTGGATTTTCTGCCCGATATGATGGTGGAGAGCCGCCTGCTCGTTCCCGGGGACAGAATGTGAGTTATTCGGCTCTTCTTCTCGTCCGCCAGTGGCGTGTGGGTGCGTGTGTCTGTGTATGCTGTCCTGAAAAGCAGCTGTCCGATGTGGAAATGTTGCTCTGCTACTTGATATGTGACCAGAATCGGGGTCAGAATGAAGGCTGGAGCCCGCGTGACTGTATCTGTGTGTTATTGTGTTAGTTATGGCTTGTTGTTATTAATATCCGTCGATAAATTGTGCGGGGATCGCAGGAGCGCCCGCGGCTGTTATCAGCTATAGACAGGATGGTGATGAATGAACGCCATTATGGGAAATTAATGCCACCGCCGTGAATAAACCCCGTCTTTACTAAGCTGTATTATCCGGCGTGTGTCGTCAAATTGTTGTATCCCGTCAGGTCGACTCTGGGAACATTTAGAGCATCGGCTTTTCCATCTCGCTCCGTGGAGCAGAGGAGGGGAAGTTGCTTTGATTTGCGGCAGCCGCCCATCCTCATTTCTTTCCCCGGCTCTCGCCGGGCTGGAAGCGGCGGGGTCGGGACCGTGCGGCGGGCTTCGGGAGCGCACGATGCCGAGACCCATAAAGACCGACGGAGTGGATCTGTGGTTGTAATAAAATAAAATAAATAAAACCGCAGGGTGGGAAACACAAGTATTCTCAGTCACACGAGACTCGATCAACTCCACCACAGGCGGGTTTTTGTTTTTGTTTTGTTTTTTGCGCTCTCATCCCGTGTTTTTCTCCTCACTTTGGACTCTTGGATGAGGGGGGAAACAATCCGAGCGACTGGAAGAGCAGCAGCACCGCGGCTTTTTCAGCACATTCGGGAATGCACGGATGACTTGTGTCCCGTGGTTCAATTGGATTTGTTGTAATTCAGTTAAACTACGGAATTTGTCGAGCAGGGACAAAGGGAGGGTTTCATCCCGGCATGATGTGTTTTTTTCCACATGCAGCGCATGTCCCACTTATGTCCCCTCAGCTCACGGCGCCTATTTGTTGAAGGCTCGTGTTCTTTCTTTTTTTCCCCCCCTCTCTCTCCGTCCTCAGGAGAGAAAACGTGCATGCAGGCTGTGCTGTGGCTCTTCTTTTCATTTTCTCATGAAGGTCTTTTTTTCAGTGTGCAGTCAGTGTATGTTCGATTGCTGCTGCCCTTAACTTCTAGTGACTCATGGTGTAAAAGCATAGAACAAAAGTAACGAAGTGTGTGTGTGTGTGTGTGTGTGTGTGTGTGTGTGTTGTTGGGGGAGTTATGAAAAAACCTCATAATGCTTCACTTTGAGGACACTAATCTACAAATGTCATAAAACAGCATTACAATAAATACAATAATGCACGTGGAGATTAAGTGTCTTCCATAAAATGCATAATTAATATTGTTGCTATACTAAAGAAACATGTAAATAATAAATGTCATGGATAAGAGACCCTTTATGCATTTGTAGCTTGCAAATTCTGTGTAAGTCACATTGAAAAATTGCCTGTGTGTGAAAATGTGTCTGTTCAGTGAAGATTAAAATACAGTAATATGAATGTATATTTATACTAATTTATATGCATACATAATAGACTAGGGAGAAATATCGGTATTGGCTGATATCAGTCATGTTCACTGACAGCACACAGAAGGATAATATCATTTTATCATTTTTAAGGACCAATTTGATTCTCAAAAAAGGCCAAAGCGGTTACTGCCTGGTTGTTTAAACATCCAAAAATGACCAAATGTTTGCTGTTTTTAAATAAAAGTTGCATAAAAGTGGAGCCAACATGGAAGTGGTTTAAAAATCCATTCTTTTTAATAGACAGACAGCAGGAGGCGACTCCTTTTTGTATGGAAGTCTTTGGGAAAACGGCCTTCTTCTCACTCTGTGACCTTAGCAAACGTTTCCTGGTCAGTGTTTGGTGTCACTCACTAGCTTTGGCTCATGTTGAATTGAACATTCAGTCCATTTTCTAAATCGCAGCCAGAAAATGGGTTATCCAGGATATGCTTATTAGCTAAAGGCTTGTCAGTCAAGATCCACCCTTTGCTCATCACTTCTAGGTTTAGTAAAACCACCTCTGGTTAATTAATAGCCACAAAACTAAATATGTCTCATACATTCCAATCAGCACCAGATATGTTAGATTATAAATATATTTCTCAATCAGTGCAGTGAATCTTTTTTTGCTATATAAACATAGCTATGAAAAAGATGACACCCTAAACTAGCTGCACGTTATTACAACTACATAAAAAGTGTCGTAATATCATAAATGGGACTCGAAAGTCAGTATAAGTTTCCTGAAATAATGAATAATAATGAAATAATTCATTGTAAAGCAAATGTAGATATTAGTTTAGCTCTGTTATTGTTGCTTTGTTGTACAATTTGACGTCATTCTGGCCCCCAAAATGTGATAAAAACCACAAAACTTTAAGGCAAAATGACTCTGGTTGAGCTGCTTGTGATGCATCAAATCCCCGATAAAGTGGTCACACATAAACGTTGCTGTTTTTAAGTGTCACTAAACCAAAAGAGACCGGTAACAGTTTCTCTGTGTCACTGTAGGAAGCTGTACGCTGTACAATACTCCAAAGCTGCATTAATCAAGAATTATTCATCCTCCACAGTGATAAAAGGCCAGGGCACACACTTTACCCTGCAGAGTCTCCCTCCATTGAGTCTCTGTGTAGTGTATCACCCAGATGTTATAGTGAAGCGATGGCTTTCTCATTAATCAGTGTCATCGTTGCTGACAGCATGGACCCCGTGTATAACTGGCGGGGGTGGACGAGGAAACCATCGCGCTTCCAGAAAGCCTTCTCCTTCTGATGCGCTTTGCATCGCCAGTTGTGTGTATATCTGCCCCGGAGTGAAGGATTTATGAATAATGTGCGTCGCAGGAATTAGACAGGCCTATCTGTGCCCTCTTACCCAGCCGGTAAGGAGGCGGACAGGTTGAACTAGATAGCACTTATGGAGATGACACTTTGTATTTACGTGAACACGCCTCTAGAGCTCACAAGAGGTGCTCTTAGTGATCTTTTCACGTTTTTTTGTTTGTAACATTGTTTTTTTTAACAGCTCTATTTTTCCAGGAGCGATGTAAAAAAATATTTGCATTCATGTCAGCTCCTTTGCTTCCTCCCACCTGATACACCTCTGAAATTCTTTCACTCTGCTGATTCCTTATGACTGGGATCAGGTCGGGAATTGGCTTCATTCCCCCTTCCTGTTCCCTTCCAGTAGCAGCTCCCTCGTTGATGCTGACAGCCCCTGACAATATCAGACATGACAAATATTAGCTGACATCATAGCTAATATGGAAAATAAATGGGACTAATGGTCTCCCTCTACTCACTCCTATCCAGCCTGAAAACGCAAATAAAGGGTAAAATGAGAGAATCAGGAAAAATTGTGGTAGACCTGTGCCCTTTTATTTCCACTCTTACTTTGACTCTGAAGCCTAGACTGTCTCTGCCTGTCCCTGGGAACTATGTGACCTTCTTCACCTCCTTAAGCTGAGTGTTGAATCCCCACCTGGTAGAGAACTGTAACGTTCTTCGGGGTCCGTCACACATCCAGGCTGAGGAGGTTCGGCCTTCAGCAATCATTGTTACACATTAAGGACCAACCATGAAGCAAAAATCTGAGTAAACACGGGATTACTAACTAGAGACTTGAAAACAGCAAATGCTTGCGGGGTGTATGCATAACCCGAATGTATAGCTTCCCACCGAATGTCTTTATGACCCTCCCTCCCACTCGTCTCTTCACTTCCCCTTTCTGACCCCCCTGCAGATCATGCAGCTGTGAGGGTCCTGGGACAGACAAGTAGAAAACTTTATGTCAAGATTACACGTAGACCATGCATGCATTTGAGTTTATCCGGTCACAGTGTGCATAGGAAATACAAATAGGGCTTCAAAATACATTAAGGACAATGGCTATGAGCCCAACAATTGAAATACAGTTCTTCAGACACTTTCCTTTAGATTTCATGTAATGATATGCAAAGAAAATATGTTCACAGGGGGATGTGATGAGTTTATGGGAGCGATGGGTGACTGGATTGTGCTGATAAATGATGCATACAGCAGCAGGACAGCATGTTGTGTTTTTTTAAAGAGTAGATAACACAGAACGCTTCAGTTTACATAACCGTTAAAATATTAGCAAGCCTGACAGACAAACTGTGACATCTCACTCCATTCTGAAGTCTGAAAGCCTTCCGTTGACCTAAAGTCAATTACTTTCCATTCAATGTAAAGTACTGCTTGCCTTCTTTCTTAGTAATTTTCTTTCTTCCTGCACTGCAGACAGGGTGACTGGCTTCACTTAGCAGCCTCATACCGAGAGAGCTACAACCACACTTCAGACTCGTCCCTCTTTGAAGGCTGAAAAATCTCCAGAGTGCTGTCACTGCTTTCCACCATGTTTTCACTGATTCAGAACAATCCATATTGTTTGCCTGCACGCTCTTAAGCTTTGCAACTGGTACCAATGATGCAATCGTGCATGTTTTTCAAATGAGTTGAGCTCGTTTTCTCAGCAATAATTAAAATCTGAAAGGTAACTATTAACCGATGAGGAATTTCACCCGGCTTTAAGGACAGAGACGGGCAGCAGCAAAGTGTACTCATGAGAAATACATGTGAGGAGGAGGAGGAGGACAGACCACGAGGTTTTTTTGAAGGGAGAATAAGGAGGCGGCCTGTCGAGTGTGCTAGGAAAGCTGTTAGCGCCACTAATGCTTATTTTAATTCATTCTATTTAAATTTGACCATTGTTATGCAGACCTTGATCCAAATGTCACTTAAGAGGAAATTTCAAACCGGTGATCACAAGAAATCCAAAATCAGATATTCCCATTAGTGCTTCAGCAGGGGAGGGGAAAGGTCACGCTGGAAGTACATTTGCATATTTTGCCAATCAGCATCACTGCATGACAAAAATAAAATAGATAAATTATGTTATATTCAGCTGTACCGCTTCCAAAAGGAAGGGTTGTAAAAACGCTGATGCTTGCA